TTCCCAGCTTCGCCACAGACGTCCTGTGTGACTTTGGTCCTATCAATTGAACCTCTCTGTGGCTCAGTTCTCCATCTGTAAAATGGGGCTAATAGCACTTCCTTTCTCCCACCCTTTGCCTTTCTGATCTGTTTACACTGGGACAGGGACTGTCTCTTAACTGTGTGTTTGTACTATGCCTTATAGAATGGTGCCCCAGGCCCAGTTGGAGCTTCTAGGGACACCATTAATACAGAGTCTCTCAGGTTCTATAGTAATGAGAGTCATCTAAGTATCTGGATGGATGGATACAAATAAAAATAATTCCCTAGCATGCATCTACCAAATTCTCCTGTAAAGAGATAGGAAACCCATCCAGTTCCATCTTAACTTGCAGATGTGTTGTTTTATCACCTTAAAAGCAACTCCTTCCCACTGTAAAAATTGGGCAGAAATCATACTTTTGAAAAAAAAATCATAATTTTTTACTGTAAAAGTTTCCCTTTCTTTCACAGCTGACGGGGATAGTTGTACAAGCAGCCAAGAGAATGCAGATCAATGTTCTTGTCAGAAAACTAGATGGATTTATGTAAGTATTCTTCTTTAGCAGTTTGGATTTCAGGGTTGCTTGCCTGACTTCATATTTGAAGTGACTTTGTCTGCAGAGTCCTTGGGGGGAAATATTATTTGTAGAGATAGTTCAGTCCAATAGAATCTGACCTAGAAAATGGCAGGGTAGTTCCTTCGTCTCGTTTCACATTCACAGTGGCAATTTGTAGTTATTTCAACAACCTGAAAACTCAGGGGTGAGCTGTTGCAAGCTACAGTGGCCCTGCCATGTTTTCTGAACATATCTTTCAAACTGCGAAAGCCAAAATGTGAAACACACTATGTGACAGAGAACTGAAACGTATTGGTGGCATGATTTCTGTGAAGTCAATAAAATAGATTCACATTGACTGAGGATCTGGCCGACTGTCCTTATGTTAGTTATAAGAGAGACACTGTCACAGGAATGCACGTGTACCACACACAGCCACGATTTCTGCCACAGCAAATGCCAAACACAATCCCAGCTGATGAGGCCAAATTGGTGTCAGAATAGTAGCAGGAGCTAGTTAGAAACTTTACAGGAACTCCCATTCACTTTCAACTTGACACTTCAAAGTTCCCACATGAGTCTGTATGTACAAGGCACTTTAAAATATATAAAGGGTGGTATTTTATCTGCCCAGATGCCTTTGGGGGACTGGATCCTACGACAACATTTCCTCATATCTACTGTACTGTACTTTCTAGTTGTTATGAGATCTCTCATATCCCAGTATTGCTGGCACCATTAACATAACTCCACTGTAATAGCAGGCATCACTTTAGCTGGTGTGTCTCTCTTATAACAGCATATGTATATTTCACAAATCTGTATAGCCTTCAACAACCGCTCAGG